TTTTACTTACCTGGTTCTACCGGTTGGCTGGATTTTTTTTTTTTTCCTGAAAAGAAACTTGAGGTTGTCCACTGGTTCCCAGGTATGCAAGGTTTGTGGTCTCTTCTTTCTGGTGTCTCTGGGGGTTTGGGTTTCACCCTGGAGAGATGAATCTAACAAGTCCACAGTAATAGGAAAGAAGGGCCTCTCTGAGATCAAGGACAGAGAACCATTCAGCTGCCTGGGATCTGCACTATGGGGGCTGTGTGTGTGTGTGTGTGTGTGTGTGTTACTAACGGGCGAGTAGTCCATCTTATCCAATGCCTCCCTGATGGCTCTGAGATCTTGTACTAGGTGATAGCCTCCTGCTGGCTTGACTTTTGGTAAAATGGGTGTATTGCACAGGGACTGGTGCAGGACCAGGAAGCCCACAGCCAAAAGTTTCTCCATAATGGGGTTTAGCCCTACCTAGCTTCTTTCGTAAAGTAAGACTGTCTTCTATCAGGGTAGAGATTAGGGGTCTTCAGCTGAGCGAATGACTGCTGGAGTGGCCTTGACAGCCTCCCCAGGTGCTGTCGCACCACGCTCTGGCATCAGCTCCCAGGAGACATCAGGCCCCAGGGGTCCCTAGCAGCCAGCACCTGAGTTGCCAGGTGTTTGACTGTCGGAGTGGCCCTGAGGGGAAAGAGTACATCTCCTCCAGCAGTGGGTGAGGGGCACCTCAGTATCGCCAGAAAGGCTGCTTGAAGAAGGAAATCTTCCATCTAGCAGTTCAGAGTGGGGTAAAGCAAGCTGGCTGGCTGACTCCTTCCAGGCCCATCGCAACTCTGGAACAGGATGAAAGCTCACCCCAATAGTTAGAAACTGGAACTGAATAAGACACCTCAGCGTGACAGAAGAATGGGATTTGTGAGCTGGCTACTGCTAGAGGCTCCAGTTAAGACAATGGGGATGACACTCGGGCTCAAGCTTTTCTCCCTGGCAGCCGTGACGGTGGATGACCTCGCCCCTCCCTGGGAACGAGGGCAGTCCCTGAAAGGCTCTCCCACGTCAGCAGCCCGGACGAGGCCTGGTGGCTTTAGAGGGCATGCTTTCGCCTGGTGCCACCCCGTCACTTGCACTGGGAGCGCTCTGACTTGCTTCCATCACTCTGGACTACCTCAGTTTCCCTTAGTGAGGCAGGCCTTATCCTGAGTCTTATCTGCCAGGGCGGCCATGGCTTTAGCCTGCCTCGTTTCCTCTTCATGCTCGTGCATCCTTTACTCCATCACGGTTTTCAGAGGCTGAGTATCCCACATCAACCAAAAGACTTATCCCAGCTTGTGAGCCCTGTTGGAGTTTCTGAAGCTTCCTCCTAATATCTGGAGCTGACTAACAAAATACTGTCCTAGGATAATAGGACGTCCTCTGGACTCCAGGTCTAAATTAGTGTATTTCCAAAGTGCCACTTTAAACCAAAGTTGGAAAGCAGCTGGATTTCCATCAGAACCTTGACTGATTAGACCTGAACTTATTGTCGTTTAAAGGCCTGGGCATCCCCAGATCCAGCTTTTCCAGGCCCTGTGCTATAATCTCACTCAGGCTTCTCCTGGGGTTTCAACAATGCATGAGTGGCTATCAGCAGGGGAAGTTAGGAGGCCCTCATCAGTAGCCTGTCTTGCAGCTCTTATAATCCTTTTGCTTTTTACCGCTGTGTAGCAAGAAACCAGGATGAACTGGACATCTCTCCAGGTTGGATCAAAAGCCATGGGTAGGGTATGCAAACCATCAGCAAACTTTTCAGAGTCCTGGGGAGATCTATGCAGTTTCTTTTCAGCACTGCAAAATATCCATAACTGAAATAGGGGCTTGTTGAGAAGGCATTTAAACAGGAAGTCAGGTGGGGTGGATGAGACGTACCCCGAAATGCATTTTGTACACAGGAGGAGTCATGGGAAATCTAACAGGGTTGCCCCTGGGTCAGTCTCCAACCTGTTCATGGGGACCTCACAGGGCTCCTGCTGGTTTCCAAGCCTTTCAGCCCCAGGATGTGACCAGATACGGCTGAACTCCTTGGGATTTGGACACAGAAGTCTGACGGTCTTTCCCTGACTCAGTTCCCACATGGGAATCCGACAGAGATTCTCTGGGTCTATGACCTGCTCCAGATACCTTCAGGGTGTGCCCTGATGAAGCTGGCCTCCTCAGGGGTCAGAAATACCTGGCCTTGTGGGCACCACTGCCATCTCTCTGGCACCTTTGCATCTGCTGTCAGGACCTCCGCCCTTCTCTGCCCAAGGAGCTCGGGGCTGGGGTGTTGTAGTGGCTGGACCTCTCCAGCCAATTATAGAACCACTGAGCATCACAGTACACCATGTCTAAAGAGAGGGAGCAGGTGCTTTCTTCAACAATCTGCCAAAAACCTGATCATTTTCCTGCATTTTTGCCAGATCAAGCCACAAAAAGGACAATGTGCCTGGTGACTAAAGGAAAACTTCATGAAGTTGGACCCAGAAGAAAAGAGCCACCTCGGTCACCTCTGCTGCAGCTGCTGGTGTGGGAACTGAACTTTTTTCTTTTTTTCATGGTACTGGGGATTGAACTGAGGACCTTATACTTGCAAGGCAGGTGGCAGCACCACTAAGCTACATCCCCAGCCCAGAATTGCACTTTTTAAAATGACCACAAGCTTTGCTTTTTGTTTTCCAGAAAAACAGTTTGCTTAATGTATGAGCATTTTAATATATGTGAGTTTTGTGGGTTTTGTTTTCTTCAGACTGAATCCCGGGCTTTTGAACTGAGCTACATTCCCAGCCCTTTTCTTTCTTTCTTTTTTTTTTTTTTTTTTTTTTTTTTTTTTTTTTTTGACTTTATATAGATCCTGTGAGTGGTATTCCAAGGAATAAACTTTGGAAGCAAAATAAATTCTTTTTTGGTTTTGTTTTATTTGTTTTTTGAGACAGGGTCTCACTATGTAGTTGAGACTGACCTGGAGCTCACTAGGTAGCCCAGGCTGGTCTCAAACTCATAGTGATCCTCCTGCCTCAGCCTCCCAGAGTGCTGGGATTACAGGCATGAGCCACCACACCAGTCTAGCCCTTTTCATTTTTAAATATGAGATGGGGTCTTGCTAAGTCGCTAAATTGCCCAGCCTGAGTTTGAATTTGCAATCCTTTGGCCTCAGCCTCCCAGAGTGCTGGGATTACAGGAGTACACCACCACATCCGGCCTGACAATATATGTAGGTATAACCTCAATCAAAAGAAGTAAACAAAAAATTACTGTATGTCATGGGGCTGGCAGAGTGGGTACTTAAGAAATATTGGTCAGAATTTACAGAAAAAAGAAGGTGGAAAAGCCACGCAGAGCTTGGGGGCCTGGGGACTGAGCTGGGAGCCACCCTTAGAAAAAGGGTCCTGCTAGTCAGAGCCGGGTGGATTGGCCAGATAAGAAGGGGAGGAGAATTACTGGGAAGGAGGCACGGCTGGAGGAAGCCGATGCTGGGAACAAAGAACACAGAATGTTTCCAAACAGTGAATGGCTCTCTGTAGAATGGGAATTAGACTGTTTCTTTGTAGCTCTAAAACAGTAATTCTCAAATCTCAGCTGCCTCTGAATCCCTGGAGGGCGTTAAAACACAAATTACTGAGCCTCACTCCCAGATTTCTGACTCAGCAGGTCTGGGGCAAGACCTAGAATCTGCACGTCTGAGAAGCTCTCAACACAGGCTCTTGCTGTGGTGCGGGCGTGCGCTGAGCCGGCCCCTGCCTTCGTGTGTGAAAAGCAGGACGGCCTTTTGTGTTGTGTTGTTGTTACTTGTAATAATAACAGCATGAGAAGTGACGGCAAACGTGCCAGTTCCTAGGTTGCTTGCCATCCACACTTTCCTGTGAGGGAATTAGGAGGGGCGCACCCCGAGGCTCAGTTTCCCTGGGACTCACCGCAGGCCTCAAGCCCACAGGGATGCTGGAAGCGGCGGGAGATGGCGCTGGATGATTTCAGAGAATCCTTTGGATTTCAGAGAAGCCGGGCGCATTAGCACTCATTGAGCACCAGGTAAATGCCGGCTGCTAACTCAAAGACGCTTGTGGGTCGACTTCACCGCCCCCATTCCTCCTGTGTTCCTTGGCAGCTGCAGTGATCACTCCCCTCGCCTTCCAGGGGGCCAAGTATCCCCAGTTCATCCAGGTACTTGGTAGAGGAGGCCCACTGCACACCCACCCACCGCTGCCCTGCTTGCGTTCACGAACGGTCTGGTGCTCAGGATATCCAGGTACATACAGTCCTCGGCACCAAGCTATCTGCTGCCTGCACCGTGCCAATCTCATGCAGAACCTGCCGATCCACTCTCCACCCGCTGGCCAGCAGGGCAGTAACGAGGCGGCTTAGAAGACAAAGTCAGGAGTTGGGGGAGGGGTGGCCTCACATCCCAGATCGGCTTGAGAAACCTCAGGATGTGCCCGATGGCCTTGAACTGGAGGATGCTCTCTCCTGTGCCTGCCTGGCCTCCTGCCAGTATGGACTCAGAGACCACAGCACCCTGGGGACGGGAGGCGAGCCTGTGGCCTCCTAGAAGAAGCTGCCAACCAAGATAACTGCCCAGGCCTCAGTCACTCCCCTCGAGGCTAGTAACAATCAGATCTTTTCTCTGGTACATTTAAGAAATTTAATGTTTTCAATTCTAACAGAAACGATAGGAAAAACAAAACGTGTAGCCTGGGTTTGTACACTAAGAAGTTCCTGCAGCCGTGGTACATGCGTTTCTGGCGTGGACAGCGCGAGACCAGCCATAGGCCCAGTGCTTATCAACCTCCACCCGTAAGCTCAGGATTTCAGGGTAGTGCAGCTGCAGCTTCTCACCAATGAACCAGAAATCGGGGTACCCAGCAGTGGACAAAGCCCGTGGCCTCTACCTTGGAAGAGGAGCAGACAACAGCTACTGAGCCCGGGGGCAAGTTGGGAGTTAGGAAGGTCACTGGGTATAGCCAGTAGCTAGAGAACCCCTCACTTCCACGGATCTTTTCCGCCCAGGGATTCAGCTGTTCTTCCTTTAAGGGGTCTCAGATTGCTTTCCAGAGCTTGTGGCAGCTGGGGGCAAGTCCCTTCCTATTTAGAAAGAGAGAAAGTGAAGAGTAGTTAAGATCCACCCAAGGTTGTTTTGTTTTGCTTTGACAGTGCTGAGGTGGGACCCAGGGCCTCGTGCACATTTCGTGCCCAACTAAGAACCCAGGGCCCTGAGCACACCAGGCAATCCCTCTCCCACTGAGCTACAGCCCTAGACCCCCCAAGAACAGGCATCTGAATGTACAGCAGGAAAGAAAACCAGGGCAGCCTCTGCCCTTGGGGAACTTGTTTTAATTGGGAGATAAGATATGTAAATGTAAAACCAAAAGTAATTGTAAAGGTTCTGTGCAAATAATCCCTGTTCACCAGCTATTTACCCAGGACTTGCTGTTGGTTGATCTGGTTCTGTGATGTGGGGCCTTGGGTATCACTAGAACTGTGATAAAACAGTCTCGGCTCTCAGGAAGCCCAAGTGTAGCTGGAGGCAGGGTGGCAGGGGGAGGAAATGTTGGCAGATTTGAGAGCTGACTTGTAGAGACCACGTAGGCTGGAGAAGCAGATCAGCGTCTCCCCGGCACCAGGGTTTTGATAGAATCTACCTGGGGAAGTTTCCCAGCAGAGTGCGAAAAAAAATGAAAATGAAAAGTAACTTTGGAAGAGTATTTTAAGATGGAGTTGGGGGCACCTTAGGGAACCAGGGCTATGCATCCTACTGTCTGGGAGAGTGATTTTTTTTTTTTTTTTTTTTTTTTTTTTTTTTTTTTAGACTGACCTGGAGCTCACTAGGTAGCCCAGGCTGGTCTCGAACTCACAGTGATCCTCCTGCCTCAGCCTCCTGAGTGCTGGGATTACAGGCGTGCGCCACCATGTCCGGCTTGGGAGAGTGAATTCTTAAACTGGGCATCGAAATGACACAGGAACAAGAACATTTGAGCAGAACCAAGGCCTGCAAAACTATTAACACCTTTTATGGGAGTCTCCTGCCTTAACAAGCCTCACAAATGACAACTGAACTTTACACCTGGAGCCCAGTGATGTACAGTCTTAGTCGGGACAGCTCCTCCCCAGGAAGGAAGGGAAGCTCCTTCCTTTGTCCTCAGTTTCTCTTTCCCCAGAGGAGTCCCACGCAATGTGAGCTTCTGTGTAGCCCTTGTTCAGAGCTGTCTGATAATGGGTTTTCCAAATTGCACTTCTCAGACTCCCTAGTAAAGCTCTTTTGCTTTTACAGTTTCAGGTTTCAAATTGAGTAAAACGAGGTGGAAGTGTGTGATGCTGGGAAATTGAGGAGCTGAAGAGAGAGCGAAAATATGTAAGGCTTTTTCCCATGCTGTCTTCCAGGTCCAGTTCCTGTCACTTCCTCCTTGCGGCCTTCCCGGGCTGAACCAGACACTTCCCTCTCCCAGCTCCCAAACTTCCCTTTATAGAATGGAGCTCATTCTGGCACTGGTCTCCCTTTCTGTCTCTCTCTCCCTCCCTCCCTCCCTCTCTCTCTTGTACCAGGGATTGAACTCAGGACCTTGAGCTTTTGAGGCATGTGGTGGAACCACTGAGCTAAATACTGGCCCAGACAAAATTTTTTGTTTCTTCTGGAACCGGGAATTGAACTCAGAACCCTGTGCTTGCCAGGCAGATGCCACACTGCTAAACTACATCCCCGGCCCTTTTGGCACTGTTTTTTTTACCAGCTTCTCTCACACTGTGCCAGCACCCAACAGGTCTTGGATATAAAGGGTCTGAGTATTGACCCTTACATTTTTATTTCTTATTATTTTATTGCAGTATAACTTACACTAAAATGAGGAAGCAAGTGTACAGACTAGTACATTTTTACATATGTCGATATGGGGGTAATATAGGAGTAAAGGGAGTTTTCCCTCTGTCCTCTGAGGTTTGCTGGAATAAAATGATGAAGATGCAGTAGGAAGCTGGGTATGGTGCCACACAACTGTGATCCCAGATACTTAGGAGGCTGAGGCAGGAGGATCATGGGTTCGAGGTCAGACTGAGCAATTTAGAGAGACTAATGTTGTAAAAGAGCTGGGGATGTAGCTCAGCACTTCTTGGGTTCAATCCTGTTTTGAAAAAAAATTTTAAATAGAAAAGTTGTATACATTTACTAATGTGCAAAAGGGGGAAAGCACAGATATGGGGGAAAATCACAGGAGTATGATCACCCCCATGATTGATTTACTCAGAAACTTACATAGGCGAGGAGGAGATGGAGTGTGCAGACTGCTTTTGATCATTGTGGGGATAATCGACAGTCCTAGCAACACTGTCTTGGGGTTTGAATGACCTTATCGTGTCCTGGAAGTCCATCAGCATGCATGACGTTCCTCAGTCTCCTTTGAGCCAGATGATGAGATTTCGGGGTAAGGACAGAAGGCAACTGAGTTCCCCTCTGCAGTCTAGCCCTGATGCTGATAAAGGAATTCCTAAGCGCCCAGTGCCTGCTCTTGAGGGAGGCAGGCAAGAGAAGTTGCGGGGAGGCCTGGGATGTAGCTCTGTGGTACAGTAAATGATGCATGCTTAGCGCGCCCAAGGCCCTGGGTTCAAGTCCCAGCCCCTATATCAACAAATAATAAATGGTGAGAAAGGTTCCAGGAAGATTGATTCTAAACTTGCTCTTTTGTACCGGGGATTGAATCCAGGACCTTGCGCTTACAAGGCAGGTGGCGCAACCACTGAGCTAAACCCCCAGCCCACTAAACTTGCCTGCATGCCTGAGACAGGACCAGCCTGAGTAAAAGAAGCAGGGGGCTCCCACCTCCACCAAGGCGATTTGAGAGCACCCACAGAACCCCTCCTTAGTCCTCTCAGCCCTGGTCACCCTGGACCACAAGTGGGCATGGTGCTGTGGTTCCTGCCACTAGTAGAGCAGCTGGGAGGGGACACTGTAAGGCAGTGTCCCTGTGCAGGAGCCACGCAGAGCCCACTAGCCTGTGGCCGCTTGGGGGAAGGGAGAGCCTGGGCTGTCAGTGAGGGTCTTGGAAGGACAGCCAGCCTGGAGACCGAGCAACGCTAAAGCCTGGGCAACCTCAAACCAGGGGTCAGGGCTTTTCCAGGGAAGAAAAGTGTCCCAGGCTTTTTTCTTTTATCTTCCCTTCTCCTCCCCCACCTTCTCCTTTTTTCCCTAGAGGATCCCTTCGGAATCCCTCCCAGGTGACTTCCCTTCCTTCTCTGCCCCTCCCCTCACTGGGAAGGAGGAGAGATGGGGTCTGGACCCAGCCACGACGCCCTACGCCCTCCTGCTTCCCGCACCTGCGGAGATGCGGGTGGTGAGGGTCGGCGCCTAGACCCCTCCGGGAGCTTTGGGGAGAGGACGCCAACTTTCTGGGGTTTCCTTAAGGTCGGTGCTCTAAGCCCCTGGGGCTTCCGATGGAAGCCGCGAGCACTCGCCCACAGTCCCGGATTTCGCTTTCTACGAAGTCCACCTGGGGGCCGGGCCCTGCGTGGGGAGGCGGGCACGGCC